AAAAAAAAAAAAAAAAAAAAAAGAACTCCCTTAGTGATCCTTCTTACGAATGGAAGACTCAGGCACGATACCAAAGATATTACTTATACTAGGGCACCGTTGGTCGTTGCGATGATGATTGATTGAATGTATAGAGGCGCACAAAAAGAAAAAGGGAGAGAAAGAAAAAAAAGAGTTAAAAATATAATAATAATAATAATAATAATAATAATAATAATCGTTAAGGGATTGCTGGCCCCTCGCACAAAAAATCGAGAATAGCGTCGAGAATCCAGAACAGATTCTCTTTCACCTTTCTTTTCAACGTTCATCATTCACCGAATTTTCGTTCGTGATTATTTCATTTTATCAACGAAACGCGATGATTGGTTGATTTCTTTCGCGAGTTTGTATCGCGAGACCACGAAAATTGATCCTGATCGATGCCATTTGTTTTAAATCGATGCATTTTTCTCGCTGCATTGTTGTCGCTCGTTTGTTTCGCTTCTTATTTACATTTAGCGAAAGGAGGGGTGAAGGAAGGGAGAATGATTTCGAGGAATTTCGCTCGCACGGAAGATGAACGGTTGATGATCGAGCAAAATCGAGGGAGATAGAAATCGTGGCTTGGAAGTGGGAGTGAGAGTGTAATAATAAAGGGGAGAGAGATCGAATCGCGCGCGCCACGTGTTGGAATCAAGTAATGCATGAAAGGAGGACGCGAGAGGAGAGAAAGAGCTGTAACGATTTCGCGTTTGGAGAGATATTTTTTTTTTTTTTTTTTTTTCTCTTTTTTTCGGGACGAGGATTATCGAAGTGGAGCAGCGTGTTGGAACAATAAGAGGATGATGACAGGGATAATCGAAGAGAGGGAGATGGGGGGAGGGAGGGGAGGGAGAAGTGATGAAAGAGAGAAAAATCAGAATTTTTATGATAATCTTAACGATATTATAATCGAACGTTGATATTTCTAATAAGAGTTAAAAAAGGGACAAAAATGGGGAGGGGGAGACGTTTACAGAGATTCGTGTTAAACGTGTTCAAAGGAGCTCGCGCGTTCGTGTTGTTTAAGCCAATAAGGAACGGATTCCATCCAAGAAACAAAAAAGAAAGAAAGAAAAAAAAAAGAAAGAAAAAAAGAAACAGAAAAGGAAGATTTGATTCGCGATAGTCGTTAGTTGCGTGGACGAATTTTTCTTTTTTCTTTTTTCTTTTCTTCTTTTTTTTTTTTTTTTTTTTTTTTCCCTAATCTTTTTCGATTAACTGAATCTTTTCGTTAAGAAATTGGAAATTAAATTACACGCGAGTCGCGTACACGGAGAGAAAGGAGAAAATTTGGGACAAATTTGAGTTAAATCGAGTTTCATGCATTATTTTATTTCAATCGCTCGATAAGTTAACATTTTTTTTCTCTCTTATTTCTCCTTCCTTTTTTTTTTCGTTTTTTTTCCTCCTCGATTATTTTATCGATTTTAAACGGTATAATATATATTTTTAACGGGAGAGCGAAAAACGAAACGAAAGAATAAGGAGAAAGAAAGAATAAAGAGTTGAAAGATAAAAGAAAGAAAAAGAAGAAAGATAGATGACGAGAGAATGCGCGTGTGCTTGTTCGTGAAAAGTTTAGCCAGTTATTACGATTATAAATTGAGAGAAAAAAAAAATTAGTTAAACGTACGGGGTCCTCCCCGTTTGAGGGGAAACGCCTCCGATTAGATGATCGCAGCATGTATGAGAGTTTCACAAGAGTTTTGATGATGAAAGCTTAGACGTAAGTAGAGGATTAGCGAACGGTATATATATATATATAAATATATATATAAATATAAATATAAATAAATATAAATATAAATATAAATAAAATATATATATATATATAGAACGCTTGAAACGTATATTAATATTATAACTTTTTATAAATATATTTTTCCGTCGAAGTCTAGCCTAGTTGGATACATACACGGTTATTAACGACTATTAATTTATCCGATCTGATTACTATATCGAGGATCTAGTGTTAATTCGAACATTTTAGACGTCATAGTTTTACATGATAGGCGAAGTTGTACGAATTGTAAGTGGCTCGAAATGAGAATGAGAAAGATTAAGAAACGAGAGAATGGAATAAGGGATGAAAGCGAGAGAGAGAGAGAGAGAGAGAGAGAGAGAGAGAGAGAGAGAGAGAGAGAGAATACATTAGTACCTAACGTTATGAAATTTAAACTACTAGCGTTGAGCCACTCGCAGAAAAGGGTCAGCTCAGCCGCTTCGTGATCATTCATCGATCGGCATCGATCCCCTCCCCTCTTCGTCCATGTTTCTCGAGCCGAGAAAAAAATCCCTCGACTCGAGGCGAACGTCGAGGTTATCATTCGCGCGCCCCCCTCTTGAAAGATCGATCGAGGCGAATGTCCACGGAGCGACCAGCCCTCCCCTTTTTTTTCGTGCTTTGTAAAGTTAAGTGAGAAACAAGAAAGAAAAAAGAAAAAAGAAAAAAAAAAAGAAAAAAAAAAAAGAAAAAAAGGAAGAAAATGCGAGAATCGTGACGGAGAGTTAAAGAGTTGGAAGGAGAGTGAGAGAGCGAGCAAGAGCGAGAGTGAATCGAGAGAGAACGTATATAACCACGTATACATAGTGTCTGCATATACACGACATCCTTCTTTTTTAATTTCTCTTCTTCCGTTTCCTTTTGATTTTTCCAGAGAAAAAGTAAACGAGAGAGAGAGAGAGAGAGAGCGAAAGAAGAAGCGTGCGTGAAGTAGAGTTTGAGAAAGAGCGAGAGAGTATGACAACGAGAGCCCGGAATACCAAAAATGGATGCCCCGAAAAGTCCCCCTCCGAAAAAAAGAAAAAGAAAAGGAAAAGAAAAGAGAGGAGAAGAGAAAGGAAAGGAATAAAAATGAAATGAAATTGCAAACGGGCTCTCGTTTACGCGTACTGATACACGAGCGAGCACTAATTACCGCATGTAAACGCTAATTAATAATTACCGATTAATTACCAAGTAATAATCAATACTGTTAACTAAAGTAATAAACGCGATCGCGATTTACCAGAGGATTTTTAAAGGGCGAAACAAAATGAACACTAATAGTATTTATCAACGATAAACGTAACGAGAACGTAACACGTATTTTGCTTCTTCCTAATACAGTGCCGTTTACGCTATTTTTTACTTGTAACTGATAGAGAGAGAATGAGAGAGAGAGAAAGTGAGCGAGAGTGAGAACGAGAACGAGAACGAGATAGTGAGAGCGAGAGAGAGAGAGAGAGAGAAATTCGGCCAGGGGATGGCGCGTCGCGCGGCATTCTCGAGAAAGGGAGGGAAAGGGGGAGAGGAGGGCGAGCTGTGCGGCCCTACTATCCCTTCACGACAAATATTTCGCGAGATCGTGCGATTCGTCGAGTGTGGTGTGAGAGGAAAAGAGGAAAGAGCGAGAGAAAAAAGAGAGTGAAAGGGGTTGAACAGAGGGAGTCGAGTTTCTATTTAGAACGGCTATTGTAAAAAAAAAAAAAAAAAAAAAAAAAAAAAACACGACTGTTAAACGAAGTGACTCTGCCGCGTGTTTCGTCGACGCGTAAACGCGATTCAACCATTGTTGTTCGAGGGCAAAAACGTTGGGTCGATTGATCGATTCGAGGCCTTTGTACGTCGTTGCGATTCTTCGAGGGGCGTTTGTAAAAAAAGGAAAAAAAAAGAAAAAAAAAAAGAAAAAAAGAAGAAGAAAAATATCGTTAAAATTCGTAGAAATTTTGCCCTCGCCCGGGCTGGCTCTTAATAACGTTTCGATCAATCAGCCTCTCGTGTTTCTCTCCTCCTCCTCCCTCTCCTCCCCCCCCTTGATTTACCCCGCAGTCGCGCGAGATCTCGAGTTTCTGTCCTCTGGGCAACGCGTGGCTGCATCCATTGTCAATTAGAACGGAATCAACGGCATAATTTTTTAGTCGTTTCTGTCGCAATCTTTTTCAAACTTCTCGCGTCTGTGAACGCTCCTGTTCCCGATTTTTTCACCGTGGAAAAAAGAAAGAAAGAAAGAAAAAAAGAAAGAAAGAAAAGAAAAAAAAAACAACGGGCTACAAACCGCAATCGTCCAGAGGACACGAAAATTTGAATG